GCTGAAATTACTAAAGGAGAGGGTTGGTTTTTTTCAGCAAATTTTAAGTATAGTTCGATGTTTATGAGGCAACGCAATAAACTTGCCATGGAAATGGTACTAAGTTTTCCAAGGAGAGAATGCTGCCCTTAAGAAAATATTTCTATAAAATGAGACCTCAGTCTGCATACAGTAAATGTACCTGGCCAAGGTACACCAATGTATCTACAAATGTCAAATACATATACAAATGATCATTTAAGAACTGCACAGTAAACTTGGGAGATTAAAGAGCACATTATTTTAAACCCATGTGGTAGCACTTACTTTTGTTTTTAAAAACTACATATCATTAGGTCTAGAACTGATACCATTTCAGTTTCATGCTCATCTAGTTATTTTTACTGTATTGAAATAGCTCTTCTTCAATATTAATGCAAACCTACACACCAGTATACACTGATTTGACTGACTCCTTCCAGAAGTGGAGCCACATAACAGGCTTTCATACAGTAAAATAGGTTTGGATTTCACATCACTGGAGAGCTTTTTTCATTTCACATTCAAATACATTGATCCAGTTCTGTTTGTATGTCTCTTAAGCAACACATAAATTACAGAGATTTAAATTGCACTTGAATAAGAAATATCAATTCATTCCATCAAATTCAATTTACTTTTACCAGCCCAAATGAAAGGAGGGCCATGTCTCCTGCACTTAAGTACTTGAAAATGAGAATGTTTTTTATATCAGTCAAATGTTCAAAAAGGTATTTCCATCCCATAATGACATCTTGCCATGAAACTCTATTAAGTTTTGTGTACACTGTCTTTTCTGGAATTTTTCCTGAGAGCGCTGCTTGTTTTTAAGTGTTATGTAAACACCATATAAAGTGTTATATTTTTTAAGAAAAGCACTTTGTATTTCATATTATAGAGTCAAGCAGAGATGGTACTGACCTATTGAAAAAAATCACTTGAATATTAATGCAAAGTACAGTATATATTAAAACAATTGCATGTTACTTTACATTCCTTATACATTGAAACATACAGAATTTTAATTTTCAGGTCTTCAACACTTGTACCTGTACTGAATACATAACACTAACACAAGCTCTGTAAGCAAGATGGCTTTTTTCTCTGCTGTTATCCTTTCCCAAAATACCACAAATATCATTAGGTTCAATGTGATACACCGTACTGTGAAGCAACCATGAAGATAACATGTAAAATAATGCAGTCACAACATTATTTTATAAAAATTCCCCTTTACTTTCCCTA